GGCCTTGTGTTCTCACTGAGTGCTCATTGGGAGGCAGCTGTCCCCACTGGGGAGGCTGGGGATACTCTTGATTCATCACAGAATCACAGAATAGGTTTGGAAGGGACCCTAAAGCCCATCCAGTTCCACCCCCTACCATGGCAGGGACACCTTCCCCTGTCCCAGGCTGCTCCCAGCCCCATCCAGCCTGGCCTTGGGCACTGCCAGGGATCCAGGGGCGTCCCTCTCCAGCTCTCCTGGAGCCCCTTCAGGCCCTGGAAATGGCTCTCAGGTCTCCCCAGAACCTTTTCCTCTCCAGGATAAACAAGCCTAAATTATTTACACTTGTTCTCTCACCTTTGGGGCCAGGAAGATCCTTCCAGTGGTTCATGGCACATGGTGATCACCAGGAGCTTCCTCTGGTCACTGTTATTTGTTTAACTCCCACATGAGCTGGGCCCAGAGCTCATGAAGATGAGCAATGCATCAGCAAGACCTTATCCAAGGGATCTCATTCCACAGGGGATCTTGTGCTGAGTCTAACACCAGCTGAACACTCCTGGCAGATATTTGGCTCAGGGCAGCCCTCAGGGGCTGCTGTGTCTGCCTCTCCAGCCCAGCAGCTGGGTGACCCTTGCCACCAGAAGGTGTTGGGGTTGAATCACTTAACACTGAAGGAGAGCTTGGCCCCAAGAAGAGGGGTGGTTACACAAACCCAGCAGCAGTAAGGTACCAGGCACAACAAGACAGCAAAACAGCCTTAATTAGGGAAAATGTACTGCTGGCTGCAGGGCTTTTTGCTTCCTGCACTTCCAGGACCTGGCTGCTGGAGGATCCTGTTATCTCAGCAACTATTGCTAATGACTGAGGCTCTGTTTGCTTGCCACATCCTTGTCCAGCTGCTGGGAGCATTTAAAGACATCCAGGTCATTCCTAAAGGCAGCGTTAGCCTGGGGTCTCAGCCCAGCAGAAGAATTCTGTGGGGGTCACTAATTAACCAAGTTGTGCAGGATAGGACAGTGTGCAGGAAAGCCTCTAACAAGTAATTTTAAAAGCTGATGAATGCAGCAAGAGCACCATCATTTAGTTGTGTTTCTTTGTGATGATGTGCTGTAAGTGCACTTTTCCATAGGGCAGAGACCCCAAGCTGTCCCCTCTCATCCAGGCAGCCCAGAGCTATGGAGAATAGATTGAAGCCTGTCCAAGACTGGTTTAAAAATATTCAGCAAATCCTGTATTTTGACAGAAAATGAGAGGTTTGGCAGGGAAAAGTTTGTCAGCATTTCTTTGGAAAGTTTTTTCTGCAGTGAAGAGAGAGACAAGTGTCCAGCTGAGGTCTTTAGGGCAATGTGAGGAACAGGACTCCTTCTGCTGGGGTGATTCACCTCCACCCCAGAAGGTCTCACTCTCATGTCCATTTGGGGACAATTTATGGGGACATGGAATCATTCAGGTTGGAAAAGCCCTGTAAGCCCATCGAGTCCCCCCAGCACTGCCACCATGTTCACCACTAACCACGTCCCCAAGTGCCACATCCAGGGATGGGGACTCCAGCACTGCCTTGGGCAGCCTGTTCCCACTTGACCATCCTTTCAGTGAAGGATTTTTCCCTAATATCCCAACTACACCTCTCCTGGTGCACCTTGAGGTCCTTTCCATCCAGCTTTCTGCTCCTGTGGGCTTGAGCTGTCCTGGGTCCCTTCTCCATCATTTCAATCTTCCTGGGCATGAGCAGGTTAACTTCATTTGCTTTGCTGTCAGGAATAACCCCCCCTGCAACCCCAAACAACTCTTCCTATTTATATCCCTGGTTTAATCAGGAAGGCTAGTGCTTCCATAGCTACGTGATTAAAAATTAGGAGACCAGATTCTGTAGTGGTGCCTCATAATAACAACCAATCCTGGGAGCACAGTGGATGAATAATGGATCACGGCTTCTTGCTTTCCCTCCTTTCTTCTTCTCCCCTTTTCATCTTTTCATTCTTCTCCTCCTCCTCCTCCTCTGCCTCCTCTCCAGGCTGGAGTAGGGGTGGGGAAAGAATACCTCCATCCTTCATATTGCAGAAGTTAGAGAGACATCACTGATTCCTCTTCATCAACCCTCCACCCCAAGCAAATTCCCTGTTAGGGAGCCGGGAGACATCAATAATTCATGGCTACCTGGAGGACTGGGTGGTGAAAGCCATTTACTTGGGAAGAGATAGCCAGAACCCATCCTCTCCTCATTGCCATAAGCAGCTCCTCAAGGCTGGCTGCTGATCCCATAAGGAGAAACAGGAGCGAAACTAAAAACTGAGGATTTCTGGCACAGGCCAGACAAGTGATTCTATGTTTGTTTGCATTATGTTCTCCCCTGTCCCATAATATCCCCTAATGGACACGCTAGATTGCTTTGCAGGGGAGATGTTGCTGCAGGAAATGCCAGGAAAAAAAAGTCAGGAATGTCAAGCATCCCACCATAAAAGTTCCTTCATTAAATTCCAAGATGGTCTTCAGAGAAAGATTTTTGGGTTGTTTTTTTCCCACTCTACAAGATGAATTTTCAGTATTTTTTACAAGCAGAGGTCAAATTCAATTAATGGATTCAGTGAGGGGAGAAAAAACTACTGAAAAATGCCAGATTTTGTTTTAAACAGCATAAACTCATCCAATGAAATAAAATAAATAAATCTTAAAAATTAAAATTCATACTTCCTTTATAGTTAAATAACATCAGAACAGAGCAAAATTGTTCCCATTTTCACATCTCAGTGACAGCCATTCCAACTAACCCAAACCACAGATTTTCACTTTCTTGTTCCACTCTTTTAGCCTGAGGAAAAAAAAAAAAAAAAAACAAAAAAAAAAACATTTTGGATCCGTGTAGAAAGCTTTTTCCCCGGTCCTTGGGTTCCACCCACTGAGCTGAAAAATCCCATTACTCCAAGCACTTGGCAGCCGCGTGTGCGCAGCAGGGTGTGCCCGCAGCACATCTGCAAATCCCGGCCTGGGGCAGGCAGCCGCCTCTGGATTGTCAGGGACCATAATCCCTTCCCAGTTCCCACCCCAGCCCGGCACTGGAGATTTTAGATCCTCCTCAGCCAGCCACAACGCAGGGGCAGCTCAGGAGCAAAGCCAGGCTTGGGGATATCAGAGGGGGCTTAGGCCAGCTTTGGTTCTGAGGGGGAGCAGCACTGACTTGAAACAAAACCAGCTCCACTTTGGCAGAAAATCGTTGGATTTCACACAACTGCACCCCCTCTGGAGATGATGAGAGTTGGAGGGTTCTGCCACCCACTTCTGAGCAGGGTGTGAAGGAGCAATTTCCCAATTCTTGAGAATGCCTTTCACATGTCCTTCACATTCCTGCTGGTCTCCCAGCCCCACACGGGCCCCAGGACAGATGTGCCCCAACACATCTGTCTGTGGCAAGAGCAGCATTTGTTTTCCCAAGGGTGATGGTTGGGAAGAGCTCAGTGCCTTTGGGCAGTGCTTTGGGCTGGAAGGGCTCTCAGGGAGGGGGTTGCCAGCAGCTTTCAGCAACAAGGAGGTTCCCTGCTTTTCCCTGGAATGACGTGAGGCGCCCATGGGATTGGGGATGCTGTTAAAGAGCCAGGGAGAAGGAGGGCTGAGCTCGGGTCTCTCACAGAGCAGAAATGAAAGTGCACTTGTCTTACTTAGTCAGGAACTTTTTATCCCTTGATGAAACACCCACCAGTGGTCAGTAAGGCCAAACTTTTTCTGGTTCACCTCTGGAACAGGCTGGAGTCCTCATCCCTGAGAGGATTTAAAAGCCATGTGGATGTGGCACTTGGGGACATGGTTTAGTGGTGGGCTTGGCAGTGATGGGGAAATGGTTGGACTTGATCTTAAATGTCTTTTCCAATGCCCTGATTCCATGAGGAGCTGGACAAAGCTCCATCTCCAGCACAGATCCTGGATGGAGCAGACCCTCAGGGTAGCAGAGATAACAGCTCCTCCCTTCAGGATTAAAGAGCAGCCCCTCCTCTCCAGCTGGATTTCCCATCTCTTAGCATTCTGGGGTGCCAGGTTCAAGAGCTGGTCCCAAAAGAGAAGACCACACTCAGGTGTCCCTCCTGTGCTTCCCTGTTTCCACCTGTCCCTGTCTCTGGTTTCATTTCCAGCAGAGATGCCCAGGGCTGTGAGATACCAGCAGAGCCTGGAGCTGCAGCCTCCCACGGGCTCTCAGGTGCCTTCAAAGGAACACTGAGGTCTTAAATGTCTCTGTTCCCCCGTTTAGATCTGCATTCCCAGAGGGAGGTGCTGAGAAGCCTCTCTGTGGCAGGACCACAACCTGCTTGTGGGAGTGAGAGGGACATCAAAGAGAGCAGGGAGTGCCCCATTCCTCCGTGGTCCCTCTGGGACAGAGGGCTGCCAAGGGAGCCCTCCTGAAAGGCAGGCAGGCACCTGGAGGTGACACTCCTGATGCCCAGAGGTTATTCCACCCTCAGTCCTACAGGTCCAAATCCAACTTCCCCTGCCCTTCCACCCCAAAGCAGCCTCACCTCCCTCCCCCTTTGCAGCCAGAGCAGGGGTCACACCCATCCTCTCCAAGCCCTGTACCTGTGTCCAGCAGCAGCCAGTCACAGATCCCCAGGGAGGAAGAGAGGAGCAGACACAGGAAACAGGCATATTTCAAGCAGGGATATTGCTTTCAATATTCACCATCCTCCCAGAGTTTGCAGCTCAGGGACATCCAGGGCTTTGAGGATTTAGTAGCCCTCGGTGGATTTATCTGCCACAGACCTGATCCCTCATATTCCTGCAAAGCTTGCAGCCACCTGGCCCAAGGCCCTTCAGAGGCTGCTGCTGCTGGAGGTCAAATCTGGGGCACAGAGCAGCAGAAGGCAGGTGGCTCTCACTTGGGGACAGGAGGTAGCACTGCCATGGCCATCCCAAACCATCTGCAGAGTCCGAGAGGTCACAGGCCAGCCCTGGCAGCTCAGCCCCCACAGATGACTCCAGGAAGGTGGGGTTCATGCTTCTAATGACATTGTCTGCTCTGTGCTGTTTTGTTGCAGTTCCTCCAGATGACCCTGTCATTTTGGGGGGGCCCATCATCAGCCTGAGAGCAGGAGACCCCCTGAACCTGACCTGCCACGCAGATAACGCCAAGCCAGCAGCCTCCATCATCTGGATGAGGAGGGGAGAAGTCATCAATGGAGCCACCTATTCCAAGGTGAGGCAGGATGGGGCTGGGACAAGGCCTGTGCTCATGAAAGGGCTACCAGGCCTGGCACTTCACACAACCCCAAAATATTTGGGGCAGCACCCTCTGCAGAGCTCAGACTCACCCTGCATCCCCACTGGGGAGCCTGGAGGAAAACAGTCAGCAGGATGCAAGTGAGAAGCCACATACTGTCACCAAAATGGGCTCTGCTCTGAATTTGGCTTTTTGTACCTTCTCACAGCTTGTATTCACCTGGTGTGGCCACTTCTCCCCTGTTAATCCCACCTGGGTGTGGTGTTAATGTTCTGTACAGCAGCACTGACCCAGCCCTGGTTCTGGCTCTGCAGCAAGAGCTCTGGATCAAAGGGATGGTTGCAGTGAGATCTGTCCCCTCCTCTAACTGCAGTTTTCCATGAAAAATTGTCCGGGTTCTTGGCATTTTTTAATTTAGACAGAAAATCTTTATTGGGTCATGAAGGAAATAATCAAAGAGCAATCAGCAGCACACTGGGAATGGGACCCCAAGTGTTCTCCTGCTTATGGGCTCCTGATGGCTGGTGAGTGTGAAAGATTCAGTAACACTTGACAGTTTTAATGAAATTTTCTAAACAGCAAAATTTGAAACCTAAAATGGGTCAGTTTGCAGCCAAAACTTCAAAGTGGGCAGTCAGAACCATTGCTCAAGCTCCCAAAGATCTTTAATAAACATTTCATCCTCTGCTGCCACTGTACAGCATCCATCCAGCCTCATTCCAGCAATATCCTGATTTGCTGGGGAGAGCAGAGGAGGCAGAACACCCTCCATGCCTCCTCCCTCTCCTCCTCTTCCTTGCTGGAGCTGAGCTGCTTCCCTGCAACCAGGGGTGAGCAGGGGGAACGTGCCCCATCTCCCTGCCGGCCATGCGAGAGGCAGCACTAATTAGAGCCAGGGAGAACTGACCCCTCTCTCTCTCTCCCTCTCTCAAATCGAGTGGAATTAATTAAAATCCAGGCTGTTGATGTGCAGTTGTTCACAGCTTATCCCCCTCGCCCCCAGATTTCCCTTCCAGGGGTGTCAAATTTTGAGCCCTCTCCCTTGCAGACCCACAAGCAGTGGGGAGCAGAGAAGGAGGAATGCCCATCTTTAAAATATTTCTGACAAAACACCCTTCCAAAGCAGAGTTTTCCAGGCTGCAGATCCATCTCCCACAGCACAGAGATCTCCATGGCATTTTAAGCAGTTGGCAGGAATGGGCTGGGAGAGGACCCCTGTTCTGCATGGGGGGAGGCATCCTTCCCTCCTCCTGGAGTCAGAAAACCTCTGTTTCTGAAGCTGAACCTCATTTTTTCCTGACTTCCTGAAGGTTTCCATGAGACCCTTCCACATTAAAAAAGAAAGTCAGCCTTTAGAAAACTAGCAGACAATTTTAGACATTTTTTGAGTGGGAAGTTTGGATTTTTTGGGGTCTTAGAAACATTTCCCTTTTGAAGCTCCATTTAAAATAGTTCATCAATTTGTCTCTTTCTGCTTTTTCAAGAGAACTGAAACCCAACCCAGCTTTCCTTTGATCCATATATTCTAGCCAACCAAAAAAGAAGTCCTGTTTGGGTTACTGACTGCCTGAAACCATTCACACTGATAATTTCGCTGTTACTCTGAATTTCCAGTCCACCAAATGATCCATGTACAGCCCCCTGCAATCCCAGCCAGGCAGCACAGAACAGCCACAGCTGACTGAAATCCCCCTGAGCCCTACTGAACGGGACAGGGAACATTACAAGATCCTGCAGGATTTGGAGGTTAACCTCAAATAGGTGAAATTCTGCACAGACTTAGGGTTCACCTCCACCCCAGCACCAAAAGTGGGGTCTTGCTCCCCAAGGGAAGAGCACAGAGGGTGACAGTAAAGCAAGGACAGGGCAGCATCCTGCATTTGTGTCCAGAGGTGGGAAAGGAGCTGGGGAAGAGGCTGGAGGACCAGGAGTGCCTGAGGGAGCTGTGGGGGCTCAGCCTGGAGAAGAAGAGGCTCAGGGGAATCTTCTTGCTCTCCCCAGCTCCCTGGGAGGGGAGGGAGCCAGGGGAGGAGTCAGGCTCAGCTCCCAGGGAGCAGGGACAGGAGGAGAGGAAATGGACTCAAATTGTGCCAGGGGATGTTTAGATGGGATATTGAGAAAATTTCTTTACTGAAAACGTATTCAGCCATTGGAACGGGCTCTCAGCATGGTGGTGGATTCCCCATCCCTGGAAGTGTTCCAAAAACCTGTGGATGTGGTGGAGAGGGACGTGGTTTAGTGGGTCAGTGCTGTCAGTGCTGGGTAAATGGATGGACTCAGTCTCAGAGGGCTTTTCCAACCCTCATGACTCTGGGATTCTGGGCTAATAGTGGTGACAATTTCTCAGCATAATCCCTTGTCTCATGTGTCTGAGAGGCACAAACCTGTGTGCATGAAGGCTGTGCCATGATGACCCAGGGAAAGCATTAGTCTTGGAATCAAAGAATCATTTAGGTCAGAAAAGCCCTCCAAAATCAAGTCCAACCACTCCCCCAGCACTGCCAAGGCCACCACTAAACCACATCCCCAAGTGCCACATGCACACATCCTGCTGACATCTGTGTATCTCCCAGTAAAGTCCTGTCTTACACTGTGAGGAACAAACTTGAAGGATACAGACTTAGAAGGAAAAACTGCCTGGCAGGGTCCAAAATCCACTGTGGATAAACTAGAGAGAGGTCAGAGGTTGGAGAATGATTAAAAGACTGAAAATCACACAACATCTTGAGAGCTCTGAGGGCTCAGCTTATCAAAGTCAGGGTTACGGGGTGACGTGACCTCCTGTAAGAACATGCAGGAGGATTAGGGGATGGTAAGGAAGCACTCCCAGGCTCCTGTGCTCCCAAAAGAGGTACAGCAGGGCACCACACTGAAGTCAGATAAATCCAGGGAAGAAGCACAGTGCCAAGGCTGAGCAGGCAGAGCTGGTAACCACCTGTCTTGGTTTGAACAGCCAGGTGTCTGCTGAGGAAGGCAGGAGCCTCCGTAACACAGATATTATAATTTATGCCATCACAATCAGAAGCCAACTATCTCCTAATTACAATACACTATAAGTGTTTCTTGGCCTATCAGATTTGCCACACCATGCCTTAAAGCCAAACATCTAAAATTACCCCTTGTGGGTCCTACTACAACGCATCTTTCATAGCTCTATTTCTCCAAAGTATCCAGTCTTATTTGTAAGGCCACCTTTAAAACTTGTTTCTAGTTCCATTTCTCTCTCAACAATGTCTGTCCTGCTCCATGGCATTTCTAAGTCAGCATGTCTTATCTCAAGGTTTACATACAGATGCACACTGTGTGAGCCTTCTGTCAGGCTTTGAGAGTTTTCTACAAATTCATTTCCAGCACTTTCCTCATCCCTGTTTCCCCCTGGCAGACACTCCTCCGTGATGGCAAGAGGGAGAGCATCATGAGCACCCTGTTCATCGCCCCGTCCGACATCGAGAACGGGGAGAGCATCGTGTGCCGTGCCACCAACAAAGCCATTCCCAGCGGGAAGGAGACCTCTGTCACCATTGACATCCAGCGTGAGTACACAGCTGCCTGAGCCACCTCTGGCTGCCGGGACACCCAGTCCTGTCTGCCCTCTCCAGCCAGGGCTGCCCGCAGCGCTCTGACTCCAGGCAGGAGCAGCATGGGGGGTTTCTCCTTACTGGGATTTACTGATGTATCAAGAGTGAAGTCACAGCCAGGAGATTTCATGACCCCTGAGCTCCCTGAGGAACACCCACACTACAGAGATATCCTGCTTCCTGTATGTCCATGGATCTGAGCAAAGCAGCACCAGCTGCCATGCTCTGGGTGGCCCAGCTGTGCCCTGATCCAGGCCGTCGGGGGTCTTTGGAGCAGGGAGGGATTACAGAGGGTTTGGGTGAGCAAGCAACATCTCTGGTCATGGCCAGTAGCAGAGATAAGTCCCGTTAGGATTTCTAGTGCAGAATTGTGTGTTTCCAAACTTACAGGCAGTTCAGTGATATGTTTTTTGTGAGACACCTGATCAGGACAGTGCCCCTCCCATGACACAAAGCCAGAGCCAGTCACCACCTCAGGGTACAGGGCTTTACCATTCACCCTTTACTGTAAATCCACAGAGCAAATTCTGCCTTCTTCCAAAATTCACATTTCACAGGCCTCTTCCCTCCTCCTCTGCAGCAGCCATTGCTCTTGGGTTCCTCCTAACCCCTTCCAGCCACGCTCCATTCACACACCCAGTTCCTGCAGCTGTATTTACCCACGACTTGCAAAAGCAGGATGTTCAATATTAGCATGCCAGCTGCTTTCCAGAGACCAATTAAAACTGGCAAACTCAACTGAACAAACTCAAGCACAGCAGAAAATTCACCATTTAAGACTTCCAGCTTTTGCTGCCGGAAGATTACCAGGCTCTTGGGTTGCTGGCTGCATGTCCTGACAGAACTGGGCAGATAAAATGAGATAATAGCTTGGGTTATTTCACAGCCAGCAAACAGCTACAATAGCTGGAGACACACTCACACAAACAACGTGGAGCGGAGACATCATTACACCAGGGCAGTACAGTGTGGGCTGGAGACGTGAGCTGAATCCCCGAGCCACATGGAATCTGCTTGGGAAAGAGAAAAACCCAATAAAGAGCACCAATTTCCACTCTGAGCTATTAAAATTCTCCATGCTGTGAATATAATAACAGTAATATTCTACCCAGCTATTAAAAGTATGTTGTTCTTAATGGTAGCTAATGAGGATATCAATTTTCCAAAGCTGGATGGGTGATGGGATAGAAAAATAGTAAGATGGATTAACCAAGCTGAGGTGGGATGGATTTTGAGCTGGATGCAAAAGCCTGCTCTAACTGCATCCAGTAACAGAATCGTGGAATCGTTAATGTTGGAAAAGACCTCTAAGATCATCAAGTGCAACTTTTAACCTTGCTTTAGCTCATGAGGTCTCACTCCCAGCCTAGTAGACAACCAGCTGCTTTCACTTTGCAAAGAGCTAAAGGTGCTTTTCCTAAGCAAAAAATATCTGGACCACTTATTTTTCCCTAAGGAATTATTCTGGGAAGTCCTGCTTGTGGGTCTTCTTCCAATATCTAGCAGAGAAGCAGCACTCAGGGAGAGAAAGAAGTGGTTTCTGGAGGAATAATGAAAAGCAGGCAGCAGCTCCCCTGGCTGGGGAGCTCTTCCCAGGCTGGCATGAGCTGCAGCATCCCCCTGGACCCTGCACTCCCCACCTCCAGCAGTGCAGGTTGAACTCACACCATAGCAAACATCACCCAGCTGCGTGGTTTGAGAGGTGGCCTTACAAAAAAATCCCAGGGAACCAAAAATAATCCTTCCCAGGAAGAAGCAGCCTGGTAAATCACTCCTAGTGCTTTCTTTCATTTTCTTCTGCAACTCAAAAGAACATCAGCAATGCTTACAGGCAGCAGAGAAACACCAGGATGGAGGTTATCCCTAGGAAGGGTGTGTACATGGTGGGAGAGATTATCCTCTTTCAGTTGATGGAAAATTGAAATTGGGGTCCCATCAATCTCATGCCTGACCATGAGAGCAGCAATGAAAGAGCTGAGTCATAAAACCCTCCCCTCCCAAATATATATAAAAAAGGGGAGTTGGCAGAAAGAGCTGGAAAAAACCCCAGTGCAGGCTCTGTAATGGAAACACTAAGCGGCTCCAGCTGGAACATCTGTTCAATGTGATTTCCGTTCCACCAGCCACATCAAAGTCAGCCTCCTGTGAGTTATGCGTCGAACATCACAAGTGGGATTAAAATCATGTTTAATAGTTTGATATGCCATAAACTATTTATACTGCAGGAGCCCAGTGGCTCCATGGAAATGCACACCCAGCGTGCCGGGATGGGGAGGAGCAGGGTTATTGCTTATCCAAAGCCATTGCTCCAAGCCTCTGCACACACATGTGCAGTTGCTCATTTTTACACCTTTTTTTGTCACAGCAAGAAGGGATTTGGCTGCATCTGTATGTTTTTACAGGAGGTGGGAGGAGGAGAAGGAAAGTGGAGGGTGATGAGGGGCACATCGCTGTGCTGGAGGGTCTCCTGCTGTGTTTATCCTTGGAGTTTTGCAGTGTTTGATTCCCTTTTGTGCTTCCCACTGGGGAGTGGAAAGCCCAGGGCTGAAGTGGCACCTTAGCCCCAGTGAAGAGGTTGGGAAGGGCTTGTCCACAGGGCAGAGGAGCACGGAGAGGGATCTGCACCTGGCAGGGCAAGTGCCAGCACAGCGCCTGCCGCCCCCAGAGCTCAGCCTGCGGCCATTCCTGAGGTGCTGAGGGGGAGCAGTGGGAGCTGAGGGGTTTGCCGAGGTGCCTCCCAGGCTGCAGGGCTGCCGAGGAGTGATGCTCACCCCGGTGCCCATCCCAGTGCCAGTCCTGGTGCGACACAGCACCCGCATGAGCACTCACACCCTCTGCTCCTGCCACCTGTGGGCTGGCTCTATCTCATTCCATCATTCAAATTCATTACAAGAAGCCAGGCAGGAATTATAATTGTAACTGAGTGGAATTACATCCTGATGAGTTACAATTTGTGTCTTTTTTCCCTTTAAAATGCCCCGAAACACAGTGGCACACGCAACCCACGCTATCCGCAGCACCCACAATACTCGAAAGCCCAATCCCCTTTCTGAAAGGCGAGATCAAAGACTTTAATTCATTTCCTTTGCTTTTTTTTTTTTTTTTTTGTCTTTTTAATTTTATTTTTTTTTATTATTTTGAGTGCAGGAGGGAGACGGGCTCATTTTAATACAAAGAGGTTCCTCTCTGTAAATCGTAGGCACAGCTCCTAACCCATCAAACAATGGGGAAGCTACTAAAGAGAAGTGTGATTCATACTTAACAAAGGAAGGTGATTAGCTGTTGTTGTCTAACAATAGGGAAGTGTCAGGATGCCTGGGAATGAATTAGGAGCCCGCTATACATCTCTGGGCTGCTGTGTCAGGGAAGCTCATTTATATTCCCAACTGCGCCCATCTTTATTGTCATTTGAATTGCACATTTTAAAATGAAATTAGGGTAAATTGAAAATACCTATAATTTCCTCGTCATAATTTCCCATCAGGAAGGCAGGTGGCTTTGCTCACAACAAAGCCAGGCTCCGGCTGGGTAAATACCACGGGGTGGAGAAGAAGGAGGCTCTGGAGCGCTGCCGGGACTCCGCCTTTCCTTCTCCCCTCCCGCCCAGCCAAGGTCACTGCCGAGGCCACCTCCGACCCTCCGCTGCTGTCCCCGAGCTGACCTGGCACCTCGCAGGGCTGGAATAACCCGGCCGTGCTGTGGAGGCAGTTCCCACACCGGTGTGCCCAGCTGGAGCCCGCAGCCTCCAGCAAAGCACTGAGCAGGTCACTCCAGCAGGACCTGACCTGGCTGTGCTGGAGGGAGAGGCCAGCAGGGAAACTTCCATCCCTGGAAAACCAAGGACACTCCTTGGGCTTGGCTGGAGCCGTGGCTCCACAGCATCCCCACAGGAACTCGAGCCCTGTGTCCAGTGCTGGCCCCACACCCAGCCCAGGGCTCCGGGATGCCCCAGCACACCTGGGGCCAAGGGAGGTGCCCTGGCCCAGGGGGTACCACGCATCTTCTCTGCCCCCCTGCCCTGTCACCTACAGCCTTTCCCTGTTTTCCAGCTGGGAAGGACATTGCTGGAGCACTTGGAAGAGGAGAGAGGCAGCAGGGAAAGCTGAACACGTAACATGTCCTGGTTTAGGATGTGGTTTTGCATATGTGCAGCAGACTCTCACCTCAAGGGGAGGAGAGCCCCTCAGCTGGGTTGATGAGCCCCAAGTACTTCTGCCATGGGACAGCTTGCTCTTCAAGCACCAAAAAAAAACCCACAAGGCCTTTTCTTTCTACTTTTTGCCCTCAAATAATCCCATGCTTAAAACCAAAATCTGAAGACCTCAGTCATCATGAAAAATTAAAACTCTGGCTATTCTGCATCTGAATGTTTCACCCATTTCCTACTTGCTTTTATCAGTTCTTTCCTAAGTTTTATTTGCTGCTAAAGCATTTAGATGCTTCTCATGTGAAAAGGAGGAGAGAAACTGAGGAGCAGTTGGAAGACTGGAGCAGGCTGTGACACCAGTAAGGCCTTGGCAGAGATGATTAGGCTGATGAAAGAGCAGAAATGCCACTTTAAAGTTAGAGAATAGACAAAAAATCATTGTTATACAGTGAGATATTAAACTGGAGTGTCTCAAAGCAGGCGAGTTTATGTCCTTAAATGAGAATCAGAGCCAGCAGTCACATTTTCCAAGTGAAATGTTACATCAAATGGTGTCTGTGGCTCCTCTTCCTGTCTTATTCGCTGAAGCCCCTCAAGAGAAGAGCAGCGTTCATGGCATCAACCTGTCTGACAAACCTTACATGGCTTTAAGCTGAAAAATGGCTTCCCACTGCCAGAGGACAGGGTTAGATGAGATCTCAGAAAAAAATTCTCCCCTGTGGGGGTGATGAGGCCCTGGCACAGGTTGTCCAGAGAAGCTGGAAGTGTTCAAGGCCAGGCTGGGCAGGACTTGAACTTGGTCTAGTGGAAGGTGTCCCTGCCCATGGTAGGGGGTGGAACTGGGTGATCTTTAAGGTCCTTCCAACCCAAGCCATTCTGGGATTCTGTGATATCACAGCACCAAGGAGCCTCAGTGCTTTTGCCAGGCTTCCTTACAGCCAAATTTTTCTTTGTAGCCTGAGAAGCTGGCGGGCAGCAGGCAGGGGATGCCTCAGCTGTCCTGGGTTGCTCATGGGCCTGTCTCTCTTTGCAGACCCACCCCTGGTGAACCTGTCCGTGGAGCCGCAGCCGGTGCTGGAGGACAACACTGTGAAGTTCCACTGCTCTGCCAAGGCCAACCCTGCTGTCACCCAGTACAGGTGAGGTGGCACTCCTGGCACCCCTGGCACCTCAGTCCAGCCCTCTGCTGAGGGCATCTCGCCTTCCCCTCCAGGTGACCCAAAAGAGCTCAGCACCTCTGGCTGTGGTTTCTGGTGGCCGTTCCTCCTCCTCCCGCGTTTCTCCCTGCTTGGTGCTCAGTGTGGCTCATCCCCAGGGCCTCTGCTGCCCTGTATGCCATGGCTGGAGCCAGCCCCCCTCCCTGCTGTGGCAGGGTCCTTGTCCCCACTCTGGTGGCTCCCTGGTGCCACTGTGGCCTTGATGGTGCTGTTGCACGTTGAGAGGCTCCTCTTCTGCCACTCACCAGTGTCTGCCACATTCTACAGCTTCTCAGTCAGGGATTCATGGGCACCTGGAGGAGGTTAAGAGGCCTGGCACTGAGCTGGCAGAGCCGTCTGTTTGGGGGCATCATGAGCAGTGCACGCTGAGTGAAAAGTCTATTATGGGAGAATTCCTCTCCTTTTTTTGCACACTCTTTTATGATTTGAACAAAGCGGCTCTGTCACCACCTCCGTGTAACCTTTAAGCAGCCGCCTCTCTGTGCCCTCCCTCCCAGCTGAGCTCGGGAGGGGCCAGAGCAGAGGTGCAGGTGCCAGAGATGTGAGGGGACACAGGGGATGGGATCTCCTTGAGTGGGACATTCTCCCTGAGTGGGTGGGGTCACATCTGCTAGCCACAGTCTGCAGTGCCCCTGCACGAGGTGAGCTCAGAGCAGGGCACAGGTGCTTGAGGAGATTTGGAGCAGCAGGAAATGTGTCACTTTTTGCTGAGGGAGGTCTGGGGTACAGGTAGTGCATGGGGTCCCTGCCAGCCACAAGCCTCCCTGGGTTCTCTCTTCTCTCTGCTGACCAGGGAAAGGATCTGAAGGAACAGCTGGAGCTGTGCCAGGGGAGGTTTAGGATTTTAGGAAAAGGTTCTTCCCCAGAGGGTGCTGGCACTGCCCAGGCTCCCCAGGGAATGGGCACGGCCCCGAGGCTGCCAGAGCTCCAGGAGCCTTTGGGCAGCGCTGCCAGGGATGGACAGGGTGGGATTGTTGGGGGTCTGGGCAGGGACAGGGGCTGGGCTGGATGACCCTTGTGGGTGCATCCCAGCTCAGGAGATTCTGTGATTCTGTGAGTGCACATCCAGGGACTGATGGGCAGGAGAGCAGAAGCTCTGCACTGAGCAGAGTCACTGCTGTGGGCCCTTGGCTTTAGGTGTGAGGTCTCCTGCATCAGAAAGCACCCCTCCTATCATAGTTGGGTTTTTTTGGTTTTTTTTTTTTGTCTAAGCAGACAAAATATGGGTCTGGGAAGCGGGGCAGGCTGTCAGCACACTTTGGGAGAAAAGAGCTTTGTGTAACCAGGTACATCCCTGTCCCGCCTCATCCATCAGCCACTCACCCCTCCTTCCTGGAAGGGCTGAGCATGCACACACAGGCTCACCACCCACTCTGGCTCTGCACAACCATCCATGGGTAATAACAGGAGGCACCTCCGGGGACAGGTTACCTGACCTGCCTCCTGTTAGGCTCATACAGCTTGATTAGTACAATCAAGTTTCCGGGTAGGAACTATCCCTTCCAGCTGGATATCAGCACAACGAAGCAGTAATTGTGTTCCTGGTTACACAGAAGAGTTATTAATTCAAGAAGTCAATTAATGTCAAAGATACAAATAGCTCTGGTTTCATATTTACAGCTGCTAGGAAAACAAAGTGCGTGGCAGGCTGGGTGAAGGACCCATGTAGTTCTTACCCCAGGACTGATTCTGGTACAGTCCAAGGCAGAACAACCATTTCTAGTCAAGGAACCAGACAGTGGCAAAACCCTGGCTCCATCAGCCTGATTCTCAACAAAGGAACCTTCCACATCATCCCTGAGCCCAGCTGGGCTGATCCCTTGTGCACTGAAGCAGCCTGGAAGGCTCCAGTCCAGGGTTTCCACTTCCTTGGACTTTGGACAAGGGAGAATGGCTTCCCACTGCCAGAGGGCAGGGCTAGAGAGGATATTGGGGAGGAATTCTCCCCTGTGAGGGTGGGCAGGCCCTGGCACAGGGTGCCCAGAGCAGCTGTGGCTGCCCATCCCTGGGGGTGTCCCAGGCCAGGCTGGATGAGGCTTGGAGCAGCCTGGGTAGGGGAAGGCGTCCCTGCCCGTGGCATGGGGTGGAACAAGAAGAGCTTTAAAGTCCCTTCCAGCCCAAACCTTTCTGGCATTATGTGATTTCTCTCAGCTGTTTCCAACCTTGGGATCCATGCACAAGCCAAGTTGAGTGCTTTTCTCCACCAAGCAGAAGTGGATCCAACACTCCTCTCCCATCTTTGCTGCTGCCTTGATAATGCAGGTTTTTGCTGTCCCCTCTGGCTGCAAATGCCACCCTCTGCCCTCTTCCTCCCTTCTCACCTATCCTGAGGCCACAGGTCTTGTCACCCTTCCTGTCCCCTGAGCCTCCGTGATTCTACTTTGCTTCAAATGGCTTTGGGATTCATTTCATGATGGATTTTACTCTTAAAACTAATTGCATGTTTATTCAGGCTATGCTTTCCCATATAAAGGATTCTGGGCAGGAAGAAAAGAGGCATGACAAATTCAATCACTTTGGATTTTTCATTTCTTGAGTTCCCTTAGCATGTAAACTTCACAGGAGGTTTTTTTCCCTACCACTGTGACAAGCAAACAGGACTCAGCAGTGCTCGCTGGGGCTTCCTTCTGCTTAAAGGCTCTGATTGATGAAGGGGGGATTTGTTTCCCTTCCATAAGATCCCAAAGCTCTTCACTATGTAAAAGTGGCAGATGTTCCAGCACTTAAGCTTGGAGCCCTCTGGAGTGGGTCATCCAAGCAAGGAGCCTCCTGCACCTTGACCTGGCCAGGAGAGAAGGATGGGACGTGTAAAGCCCCAGGACTGAGACATCTGCAGGTTTGAGAAGGAAGAACATGAGCTTGGTGCCATCCCCAGGCTCACTCAGGACCCCACCACTGGTGATAGTGAACTTAATTCTGCCTTAAAAAAACAATAGGAACTTTTTTTCTTTTTTTTTTTTTTTTTTTTTTTTTTTTTTTTTTTTTGTCCTTCGGGAGGACCACTCTGATGTATCTCCTATGGCTTCCCTCAGGCTTGGACAGAGATCACAGATCTTCAGACAAGATTTATTTTTTTTATTTTTAATCTCCCCCAATATGTTTATCAGTAAATAACTCTGAATACAAAGGAAGAATGTTTAAACAACCTAAATCCCCTTTTGTGGCCATAAATCCACAGCCAGCTTCGTGGGGCCATCCCTGCTACCAACACACCAGCAAGCTGTCACCTTGCTGGAGTTTTTGAGGAGCCACAGGTTTTACACTGGGTTTGCATCCTGGGTTTTCTTCCTGGGAAAAGCACATGAGGTCAAATATCTCACCCATAGATGTTCCTTTGGGAAACATCCATGAACTGGGCTCTCTGTTAGGATGAAGCCACTAAACCACCTCCGTGGTCCTGCCAACCCAAGATTTTAAGCTCAGGCCTCCTATTCTCTTAGTTAGGAGGGCAAAGGAAAAGAAACAAAATTCAACACAATTCCCCAAGAGATGAAAAGGCCCCTCTGCCCCTATAGAGAACATGGTTTTGATTAAATTGAGCTGCTTTTTCCTTAGGAAGTTTTCTTCATGCTCGCTTATATAATCACACAGAGGTCGATTTTAATGCAAGAAAAACCTGGTTGGAAAAGAGACCTTGGAGCAATCTACTCCCAGAGTCAGAGTGGAAAGTTACAGCCTGCACCTTGTCTTCTCTTCTGAAAGCAGAGGGTTAATGGCATTTTCTCAAAACTGACAGACTTTCACAAAATCTTTGGCCTCAGTGGCATTTTCTAAGCAAGAATCCCTCTTCTCTAAAATCTGTTGGCATCTCATGGTGTTGGGAAGCAGGCAGGGCTGGGGCTGGCTGTCCTGTGCTGGAGGCACAGCTCCTCTGCTCCTTTCCTTAGCTGAGGAGGCTGGAGCTGAAATCCCAGCCCCGCTCCCTCACTGGCAGCAGCGGTTTCGTGGTGAGGAGCAGCATTTCCCCAGAGAGGTTTGTTTGCCCACGATGTCACTTGGGCTGTCACTCGCTTTTGGACCCAGGACAGGCCAGTGTCACCAAAAGCAAGGGGAGGGCAGAGGCTGGTGAAGTGTCACAGTGATCCTGAGCAGGCGGTTCTGGCACAGGGGTGAATTAACCCTCTGGCAGCAGGGGTTTGCTCATTTGGATGTTTTCCCTCCTTCCAGATACAGAAGTACAGACACATCCTACAGCTTCTGTAGAGTCTTATACACCATCTGGCCTGGGTTTATCCCACCTCTGCCAGGTTCCCTTTGGAGCTGAAGAGCAGCTCAGCCCACCAAAAACCTCCTTGGGTATTGCCAGTGCAGCATCCTCCACTTGGAAAAGGCTCAAGGGGGCCTGGGCTCCTCAGCAGCACTTCCATGGATGTGTCCCCATCTGCTTTAGCACCATAGACATGAGGCTGGAAGCCCAAAGAGGCTCCCTGGTGTCCCAAGGGTGGTAGGGGACCACACTAACCTTTCCTCTCCCCTCCCTTGAGCCACTGCCAGCCTCTGCCATCCCGGTGCCAGGCTGGAGCAGCAAACAGCTCCAGTGCACATCCCACCCCAGCACCCTCTCCCACGCGCCTCTGCAGCTTCCTGGACAGGTCTGGGATGGGGAGGGGGGAGTTTGGGAATTTACTGGCTTTCTTTTGCTGCAAGCAAACGGGCAGGAAAGGGAAAGGGAGAGTAATTAGCTGTCGCCGTTGTTCTGCTACCTGCGATGGCGGGTGAAATTAATGGAAAGCAACAGAAGTCAGGGCGACGTGAACCGACTCCCAACCAGGCCTCCTCTTTGCTCCCTTCAGATCTCTCTATTTGCCAATCTTCTCGTGGCTTTTGATGTCTGTTGTGTGTCTGTGGGGTGTTTTTTTGCTGTTATTATTTATCACTCGCAGTAAGAAAGAGAATCTTTAAAGTGGCAGAAGAAAATGGGA